CATCTACCCTAGGTAACCCATGTTCTACCACGTTTACCCCCATCTACCCTAGGTAACCCATGTTCTACCACGTTCACCATCATCTACCCTAGGTAACTCACGTTCTATCACGTTTACACCCATCTACCCTAGGTAACCCATGTTCTACCACGCTTACCCCCATCTACCCTAGGTAACCCATGTTCTACCACGTTAACCCTTATCTACCCTAGGTAACACATGTTCTACCACGTTAACCCTCATCTACCCTTGGTAACCCATTTTCTACCACATTTACCCTCATCTACCCTAGGTAAGCCATGTTCTACCACGTTCACCCCCAACTACCCTAGGTAACCCATGTTCTACCACCTTTACCTCCATTTACCCTTGTTAAGCTATGTTCTACCACGTTTACCCTCATCTACCCTAGGTAACCCCTCTTCTACCACGTTTATCATCATCTACCCTAGGTAACCCATGTTCTTCGACGTTCACCCTCATCTGCCCTAGGTAACCCCTGTTCTACCGCGTTTACCATCATCTACCCTAGGTAACCCCTGTTCTACCACGTTTACCATCATCTACCCTAGGTAACTCATGTTCTATCACGTTAACCCTCATCTACCCCAGGTAACCCCTGTTCTACCGCGTTTATCATCATCTACCCTAGGTTACCCATGTTCTACCACGTTTGTCACCATCTACCCTAGGTTAGCCATGTCGTACCACGGTCACCCTCATCTACCCTGGGTAACCCATTTTCTACCCCGTTTACCCCCATCTACCCTAGGTAGCCCATGTTCTACCACGTTTACCCTCATCTACCCTAGGTAAGCCATGTTCTACCTCGTTAAAACCCCTTTACCCTAGGTAACCCATGTTCTACCTCGTTAAAACCCATCTGCCCTAGGTTACCCGTGTTCTACCAGGTTTTCCACCATCTACCCTTGGTTAGCTATGTTCTACCACGTTCACCCTCTCTACCCTAGGTAACCCATGTTCTACCACGTTAAACCCCATCTACCCTAGGTAACCCATGTTCTACCACGTTTACCCTCATCTACCCTTGGTTAGCCCTGTTTCACCATGTTCACCCTTATCTACGCTAGGTAACCCATATTCTACCACGTTCACCCTCATCTACCCTAGGTAACCGATGTTCTACCTCGTATACCCCCATCTCCACTAGGTAACCCATTTTCTATCCCATTTTCCCCCATCTACCCTTTGTTAGCCATGTTCTAGCACGTTTACCCCCTTCTACTCTAGGTAACCCATTTTGTACCACGTTTACTCCCATTAACCCTTGATTGACCATGTTCTACCCCGTTAACCCTCATGTACCCTAGTTTAGTTATTTTCTTTCACGTTAGCCCTCATCTATCTTAAGTGAGCCATGTTCTACCACGTTTAGCGCCATTTACCCTAGATTAGCGATGTTCTACCACGTTAAACCTCATATATCCTAGGTATCCCATGTTCTTCCACGTTCACCCCATTTGCCTTAGTTTCAAGCCGTGTTACAACTCGTAGGAATGATGGCTTATTACTTATCGAAGCCAAAATATATACATGGATTAAGAGGCGTATTGAAGAACAGGTTGACGGCCTATAAAGGTCACTTGGAATCTAGAAAAGGCTGAGGGGATCAGAATTGCTATCGTCGACAGGAACTCTGCAAATAGGTGGAACATGGACAATTTGTTATTAGTTTTTGTTTACAAGTGTAGTAAAAGTTATAAATCTAACTGATGTTGAGCTATCTGCGGAAAACATTTCCTTATTACACACTTTTGTAATTAGGTCAAAAGCATCATGACAAAAGCCCTTTAATCTTTCATCTGGATAAGCTGCACAGATAGCTGCCAAGTTGGCGCACAAAAAAAAAATTCATTTTACGCTCGTCTCAATTTGGGCTAACATAATAAGTGCACTGCTCGATTCTTTTTCCGCTACGATGCCTATATCGCCTGCGTTCGGCTCATTTACAATCTTGAGAATGACCGCCTTGCACCACTTAAACTTGTTTAACTTTTCAAAATTGGGATAAGAAGCGTTAAGTAGCGCTTCCAAAGTAGATTGAAAATCACTTTACATTTTGTTTTATTTTCCTCTGAATGCAAGAGAAGATAAAAGCCACGAGCAACCCTTCTAAAGCCGTACTTTACTCATGCTGTTCCCATAGACTTAATGCTATCTTTCTCACCCTGTACATCTCCGTTGCTTCTTTCTCTTCAGCATAACATCGCTCGTTTATCGTTTTATCTTGTAAAAAGTTATTGAATTAGTAATTTGCCTTGAGTGTAATAAGTTTCAGGTCATTTGGGATTGATGGACAATATAAGGGACTAGAAATTCGATTGGTAACGCACTTAAGAAGAATTGATTAATTATTTTTTCAGGGGAAAAGATGCCTAACTAAAGTGCATTTCGCAAAAGTTTAGATAAGAAACCTCGGGAAGGGTGACGGGGTTCTTAACGATAACGAAACTCCCACTTCGAGCATTTATGCAGTCAGTTTACCCAAGAGAGAAACGCCCCTGGTATCACGACTAAGTAAAGTTACTGTAGTCACGGCGCCTCACCTTTGTTTTACATTCACGTCCTTTGTACATTGTTTTCCATTTTCAGTTATTCCGTGTATATTTGTTATTTTATCAGTTTTGCCAGTCATTTAGGTTACGTCACATTTCATATTTTCGTGTTCATTTTTTGTGCATTGTTTCTATTGTTTAGTATAGCTTCTTCTGCCGTAGTTTTCTTGTCGCCGTTGTCATTAACA